TTTGTATTACTACAGGGCATCATTGCTGGCGCAAGGCCTTGATATTCTAACAGGCAAATCAAATCCCGTTTGGGTCAAACTGGAAACCTCCTGCGGAGGCATGCACTCTATCTCTGACTCCCTGTGGAAACAACCCTCAATTTATAGCCCCTCTACACTCCCAGCTTCACACTTTTTTATCAAATCATGGACCTCATGGAGTACCATATTGTGGTCCAAAGCAGAGGCACTTTATCTAGCACCTATATCGGCCTTATCTAACATATCCCCCAACCTTCAAACGCGACACTGGTCCAATTTAGGTATAACGCATGTTCATAAACTACTTAATGAAGAAGGCATTCGCTCATTCCCTGATCTACAGAAAGATTATAACTTACCGCCCAAAGATATTTTCCTATACCTACGGTTCAAACATATCCTAATTAAGGAATCAATCAAATTTATTCATCCGCTTTCACTCAGTAGACTGGGATTTAAATGGTACAATGCAAAACTATCCCAATCATCTTGCAAATCTCTTTCATTGTGTTACTCCGCGCAGGTTGATTTGAATGCATCCACTAAACTGCCCTATATGCTCAAATGGGAGGCAACATTGAGTATAGCTCCTACTTTTCCCGAATGGGAACAAGCCATTACCTACACAAAAAAGTCATCAAAATGTATTACACACTGGGAAGCGTATTTTAAAATGTTGATGAGGTGGTACTTGGTCCCAAGCAGGATTCACAAAATTTATCCGGAATCCTCTTCATTATGTTGGAGATGTCGTGCTGACAAAGGATCTATAGAACATATATTTTGGTATTGTCACAAGCTACAAGTATTCTGGCAAGAAATCAAAAATGCAATTCACACATTATGTGATTTTAATATCCCATTGACTCCCGAAAATTATTTACTTCACCTCATTCCAAATTTGAGCGATTTGCCAGCTAAGGATGCGGTGCTTAATATGCTCCTAGCTGCTAAAATTAGCATAGCAGCACACTGGAAATCCACCGCCTGCCCTACAAAAATGGAAGTCCTCCGTAGAACAAACTCTACATACCAACATGAAAAGGAGTGGGCAAAAAAGGGTAATATGAGTGTATTTCTGGATAGATGGCAAAACTGGGAATCTTTTATGGATAAGACTATCACGACATGCTAGGGTCAGCCCATCTCTGAGCACGCTTTGATTTTCATCACCTCACATCACACTGTACCATTTTGTGTCATATCGTAGCGTATTATACGTCATCCAGCACAAACACACAAAATTCTTGCATCATAGGCGTCAATTGCCCCCTGTCCCACCCCCCCGCCTTCCCGTTACCCCATTTTCCTGTATGTTTTATTGTATGACATTTTTTTTTTTTATTGTATGACACTTTTTTTTTGTTTTGTTTATATGATACATTATTGATATTTAATCCAAACCAACTCGTTAATATACTCGTTAACGCAAGTCATATAGTACTGCTCACACTGCCGATAGTCACGAAAGTCGAAATTATATACCATTGGGAAATGTTTATCATTAGAACAATACGTTTCAATGACTTTTAACAGTCGTCCGACCTGCTTCAGGCCGCTATGAGCCAGGGCCACAGACTTGCATACATCTTGTAACATATCTACAGCCCTAAACTTAGTATATTATACTAGTAAGTTAGCGTTATTCCTACAAGGTCTACTTCTCTTGCAATGTATATATTTCAATGGTCTTTTGGAAAGATGTGTTCATATGTTCAACAGCCGTTTTATGGTATGATGTAACTGCAACACTCCTCCTTTTATGCTATTGGTGTCTACATTATTATATTCCACATATAGAGTTATGTCTTGCAAGGAAATGTCTGATGTATCATGGTGTATCATAATGTGCCATCTGTATATCAAACTGGCACTTTGTGTTTTGTTGTTATCTGTGAAAATTCAATAAACACTATATATTGAAAAAAAAAAAAAAATAAACATAGCAGTTTCTCTGAAACTGCTATCTTTATAAAAAAAAATGGGTTAACCCTAGAAGGACCTGGCACCCAGACCACTTCATTAAGCTGAAGTGGTCTGGGTGCCTAGAGTGGTCCTTTAAGCAGGTAATAGTCAAAGGTCTTGATGACGTGTCACAAACTCGTAAAAGAAGATCTACACACAAAAAAATGGCCTGAGATTTAATCAGACGAAGCAGACAGAGCCATTAATGGATAATCATTAGAGGAGGAAGAAGGTCAAATACGTAACGTGAGAAGTTCGTAGATTCCCTTATACCCATGTAAGGAATACGCTTAATATGGAGGATTCATTAAGGAATCTGCTACTAATAGACACTTTGCCATGTTACGTAAAGGAACCTCTGCATTTTTTCTTCACAATAAATAACTTATTGCTGAAGTGTCTCAACAAGTGTTAACTTACAAAGCAGGGTTTTTAGAATATATCCTTTTTAAAAGGATGATGCAGCAAACTGTATTACAAATCCAAAAGTTAACGGCACAGTGGTTCACCTAGCCAAAATGAACCACTTTTCAGGTGGATGACGCAATTAATTAAATAGAGCCTATGTAAAGGAGAATAGACTATATCCACTGTAAAGCCTATTTAGCTTCTGGGGCAGCACTACATCTGGCAGTGGCACTCAAATCAGTGTCCAAAGCCATAAAACAATGGTTGCTCGATTTGGTAAAAGACATCAAGGAAGGTGTTCCAAGGAATTCTATCATGAATTCCATTCAGAATATACTTTTAGCAACTGAATTCATTACTATATCTTCAGTAGATTTAGTATGGACATCAGCAAGATCCATGGTCCTACCAGTTGCTGCTAGAAGACCTCTATGGCTCAAGGGCTGGGAAACAAATACAACTTCTAAAACCATGTGCATTTCCTTTCGTGGGTGATGTTATTCAAACAAAATCTAGACAAATATATCAAAAAGGCATCAGAAGGGAAGATGGCGTTTCTTTCTTCGGATAAAAACCAGCAACACAATATCAAATAAGACGTTCCTTTTGGGATGCAAAACAATATAAACCAGGAAAAGAATTACTCAGATCCCAACTATGGAAGTACAACCAATCAGTTGGCAGAGGGGGATACCACAAACTTCTAGCAGTTTCCATAGTCATGCTTTATTTATTCAAAAATTCCCATGAAGATTGGAAAAAGACAAGATTTTCTAGACTCCATCAAGTGTCTCTTTTATATGATCAAGTTGTAATTCCAGTTCCACAGGAAGAGAAATTCAATTCAAGATTCTTTTTAGACCCAAAACCTCAGGGGCAATGTAGACCAGTACTACATGTTCACAATCTCAACAAGACTATAGTAAAAAAAAAAAAAAGATTCAAAATTGAATCCTTAAAACACACACACACACATATATATATATAAAAAAAAAAAAAGTTTAAATGCAGTTTGCTTAAAAAACGATTGGATGATTCCGGTGGAGCTCAGGGACGCTTAATTCCATATTCTAAATCTTATACAATTGAATCATTACCAATTCAGGGCCACGCCAATCGGTATCAGTACTGCACCAAGGGTATTTACAAAGATTCTAATCATCCTTATAGCTTTCATTAGACTTCAAGGGATAAGGATTTTCCATTGTTTAGATGACATCTTGATTTGGGCATCAAACCAGAAACTTCTAGAAATACACAGAGACAAAGTGATTCCTCAGGGCCTTTGAGAACATTCTACAAGGGCATTGTCATCATTCTGGGCAGCTGCACCTAGTGTCTCTCCTGCCCAGATCTGAGCAGCTACATGGTACACAATTTCTACTTATTTTAACTTATATGTTCGTTCAGCAAAAGATACTGAATTTGCCAGAGCTGTTTTGGCCACTCCCTCATTTTCTTAAACATTTTTTCAGCAGCATTACAGCTCTTGGTATTTTATTATTCTACAAACCTGGTATTTTGCTTAGGCGTAACCCATGAGTAAGTGCTGCCATGGATATGGCCAGGAAACAGGAAAATAATTTCATACTTACCAATATTTTCCCGGTAATATGCCATGGTAGCACTACAATTCCCCTATGACTTGAAATTTCTATTTGTTATAACTTTGTAAGAGACCAGGAAATTAAAGAAAGGGTGCAGCCTTTTATAATTTGGGGAGGATTAACCTGTCCAATAGAAGCGGAGGTGATATAAACACCCGGCTATATTAGGTTATGCCATGGCCTATTACCTAAAAATATCGGTAAGTAGGAAAGTAGTCAAAAGGTTCTGTGTACAGAGCCCATCTCCCTGCGAAAAAGTACATTATTAATGATAATCCAAAGATCGGGTTAAGTTGCCAATATGATGGTACCAAAAAGAACAGCATGCAATGAAACCAAAAGTTCTGCAAACTAGGATAGTCCCAAAGGACCAATCAGGAAAGAGACAAATCAATGTATTATAAAAAATAATAATAATCTTTGAACAGACTACCTGACTAGGTCCACATGATTACAGCATGGACAGCTAGGAGCTGGATTTAGAACTTACCAAGCCACAGGTCAGTGAAAAAGGAGGTGTCTGCAGTACCTTCAAATGTGAAGTTAAGCAGTTGCTGCCCAAGAGGCCTATACACCATTTGCCTCAAAAAATAAAGTGCCAAATCCGTGGAATATCAGAAGGAAGGAGCTCTTGCAATCCCAAGCAGTTTATTGCTGGATGCCCTGGCAATGCGATAAACACATTGCGCATAGAGTGACGTCACAGGCGATCTGTTCTGTAGACTCTATGCAAATATCCAGATGGAGCTTTCTACAGGGGAAGGTGTGGTTTATTCTCAGTAAGTCATACTTTTCAAGTTGGGGGTAATGTACATTAAGACAGGGAGATTTGATGGAAATGTTTGTACACAGTTGTGTATCACTACCTCCATTAAAACTTTTGCACATTTTTTTTTTTTTTTTTTTAATTCCTAGGAAAGTGACTTAATAGACAGTTTTGCCTTTAACATAGAAGATAAGTGTCACTTGATTAAAGACTAAACAAATGGAAGTCAAATAAATATTTTAGGTCATTGTAAGAATGTTTAATATTTACAAAAAAATACAAATAAAAGACAAACCAAATGGGCAGTGCAGCCTGCATTGCTCTACATAAATGCCCCCCATGGTGGGTAAACAGAAAATGCAGTTTAATGAATACAACATAATATTACATACCTAAACCACTGTTAAATTACAGAGATACTAATCCACTTCAACTACTGTAAAAAAAAAATAAAAATAAAAAGTTAAAAATCATCAATAGATCAATAATACTTAATCTGAGACCAATTTCAAGGAAACTGAAAAGTTTCAGAGGCACTGTTGCAAATGAATTATGAATGAGTGGCATGTTGCATATTGGTTTAAAAGGAGTTAAATATTTAGAGATCTAAATACTAAAAACCTTTTTTTGGCTGTGTTTAGAAACAAAGTATATAAAGACTTATTCTTCATTCCATGAAAAAGACAAAAAACAAAAAACAAAACAGTTTGTTATTCAGGAGCATAATTTTAAATACAAATTTAGTACACTCCTGTATTAAACACAATCAGAGCATTTTCAGATTACACTTCTATGTGTAATGGAACTTTCATATTAAGTTAAATACATTTAAGATATGATCCAAATCATGACCGCTTCATCCAAAAAGAACAAATCACTTGAAATGATATTCAATACATAACCTTCCAAAACAAGACAACTCCTTTATAATAACTTCAGGTAACACATCCCAATCCTTCCATTTTTGGTTTTCTGAATGTGTTGCTCCTTCCATATTACTTGAGCGCCATTTGATAGTGTGCTCCTTTTGACCTTTCGATGTTAAATACAGTATTTAGATTTGGGAAATCCAAATTAAGTTGTAAACCAACTAATTTATCAAGAGAAAAGTAAATGTACAAAAACAAAAAGCCGAGCAACCCAAGGCTCAATTGATTTTTATTGTCCTGTATCCAGAATTAATTGGAGGGGATTGAAGAGAAAGTTGTCACCTTTGGTCCTGGTATTGCATCAACATTGTGTTATGGAGGAAGGTCTGTAACAAAGTAGCTAAAATATGAGAAAAAGAAAGATAATGTAAGAAAGTAAAATTTAGATGTTTTGCAACAAATACAGCATAATTCAAAAGGCCAGGCAAGATAGAAAATAAAAGTAAATCAGAGACAAAACAATCTGCATTGTCTACGTACCAATCTTATACATCCTCTGTCTCAGTTTCTTTTATATCTTCCTCATCCTCCTCATCTTCAATATCTTTATCCACTGGAGCACCTCCATCTTTGGAGATTTCATCTACATGTGCAAGCATGTCTGCCATAAGAGCTTCTTCCAGTTTTTTCCTCACTTGCTGCACAAGTTCTTCTTGTTTTCTGAAAGAATCATCATGATTGTGGTCAATATAAGCTACAACATCCATAGCATATTTGTGGACACTCACGGCTCCAAAACATTGAATTTGTTATGGTGCCTAGGGGTCCTGGATGCAGTTGCACCTTAAGGGGTTTAACAGTTTATCCCCAAAGTGCTCAAGACATCACCCTACTCCAGGTCCCTGTGTCTACTCTCCCAGCCCCAACTTCAATGTGGAAGACTTGGACTGTGCACCGGTGATAGGCTGTTCACATCAGTCCAAAAAAAGACATGCATTTAATAGGTTATGACCTCATTAACACGCTGTAATTCCCCTTAGCCAGGTTCACTCATACCAGAAAGACACACATTAAATTTTTCATTAAGACCAGAAGCACTCTATGTATATACCTACTAAAGTTGTGTTGGTGCCGAAATGTCCCATTAAATTGATTCAATGTAAAGCTAACAGATCTTTTTAACATTGGGGGCAATTAAAGAGTTACTCTAAGCAGGGGCGGATCCAGAGCCTCATCTCGAGAAGGGGCACTCAGATTATTTAAAGGAACAATCTAAGCACTATAAATACTACAGCTCTCTGTACTGGTTATGGTGCCAGGAATGCCATCCCAGAGTAAGTAATCAAGCCATTAAGAACATTTTGTCAATTTACCTGGGGTCTGCCAGGATAGGGCCTATAGTAGTGTGTGTGAGGCAGTGCAGGGGTGGAAGGGACGACAGTGTGTGAGGGGTGTAGTGTGTGCATGGGGGTGCAGTGTGTGTGTAGTTGGGGGAGGGGGCTGATTAAAACAAATGTGTTTTTTTTTTTTTTTTTAATTGCCCAGGGAGGGGGATATCGATTGTGAATCCATGGTGGTCCTGTGGAGAATCCGCAGGTAATCCTAGTGGGTAGTGAACTCTAGCCTGCAGCTCCAATGGCTAGAGATCACTTTTGCAAGAATGGAGCGTTGCCATGGTAACTGCGGCAACACTCAGAGCTCGCAAGAGGAGACCAGGCGGAGCTGGAGGGCCATTGCCCCCCTAGATCCGCCATTGACTAAGGATTACGGCCACTTCATTGGTTTGAAGTGGTCATGGTGCTTGGAGACTGTTTTGCAGCATTTCACTTTGGAACGCTGCACATAGAGATTAATCCCTTAGCTGCTGTAGCTACACCTCCGGCAGCATCACTAATTAGGAAGATAACTAATTTCTAGGCTGGCAAATGTCAATTTTGTGCAGAATTGCCACTGGAACACACATTATGCCGGTACCAGACACCCAATAACAGCACTGCCCCCCCATCTCCGGTGAGAGGGGGTAATGTCAGCCAAGGAGGATCAGGCTGAAGGGAGAACTCAGCAATGAAGCAGAGGCAAGTTTCACATTTCTTTATATAATTTTGCTATTAAACTTTGGGAGAGCGGACCACCTCAGAAAGGATTACTCTAATCAAACCCAGTGTTTGAGTTACTCTAACAAAATATAATTTTAAGAATAGGTGTAAAATTAGCAAAGAGATAAAAGAAACAATTAGATAAGATTTTGTGTTAAAAATTCCAAACCTAATTAAGATGTTATTATTCTCTTAACTGTGTAGAGACTGTAAGAATGTGCATGCGCAAGAATACTTCAGTGACTCTGGCCCCTAGAATATGAAGTCACCAGAAGCAGAAGGGAAAGTAGTGGCACAGTAAAGAAAGAAGCCTCCCTTTGGCCACAGAGAATGCTGGGAAGTCCAAGAAAATAAAATTCAGCTACAGGGGAACACAGTTGTTTTCCGGAAAACAACGAATGAACAGTGTTGTAATATCTTAAGTGATCCATACCTGATGTCCTCGTCTGTCACCATAAAGGCTTTGCAGAGTGGCTGGGAGGTGTTGAGCCAAACTCCAGGGTTTTTCTCCACAGCTGCAGAGAGCTGCCCAGTAATTGGCATAGTACTTGTGTGTAACGCACTGGCTATTGCAGAGAGTAGAGTCTCATCTGTGCATCCAGGTCCAACACCTATGGAGGAGAGGGTAGATTAACATTGTAACACAAAAATGAAATCATTAAAAACGGAGCGCAATTGGTTTAGCAAATGTAATAACTAGGTAAAACAGAGGCTGACCAGACGTGCTTTCATTTCCTAAGCCTACTGCAGGAGGGTCTGTAATCTATTTAAAAAAAAGACACTATAGTCACCAGAACTACAGCTTATTGCATTTGTTTTGGTGAGTAGAATCATTCCCTTCAGGATTTTTGCTGTAAACACGGTCTTTTCATTGAAAATGCTGTGTTTCCATTACAGTCTATGGATAACACAACTGCTCAAATGGCTGCTAAAGCCGCTTCCCTGAGCAGTGCTGCAGAGTAAGCAGCACTGCCATTCAGTGTCTCCACCCTGTGCATGCAGACACTGGACTTTCCTCATAGAGATGCATTGATTCAATTCAGTTCTATGAGGAAATGCTGACTAGCCAGGGCTGTGTTTGACTTGTGCTGGCTCTACCCTTGATCTGCCTCCTTGACAGTCTGAGCCAATCCTATGGGGAAACATTGTGATTGGCTCAGACCACCACTTCTGATGATGTCAGCAGATAGAGACTGCAGCTTCAGACTTGAATACAAGATTTTACTATATTCAGGGAGGCAAGAAGGGGCTACATGTTTGTGTTCCTGACCCTACAGTGCTCCATTAGTCATTTCACCTGTTGCAACAAGGGCTGTGGAGTCTGTATTAAAAAAAACAAACAAAAAAAACCAAAAAACCTTTTGACTCTTTATTTTATGGTACCTTCAACTCCGGTAACCCATAATTGCTTCTGACTCCACAGCCCGGGTTGTGACATTGTTAATCTCAACCACCACAAACATGAACACCTAAATCAAGTTATCTTTCCCCATATTAAATACTATGCATTTTTTTTCCTTTCCTTTATATATACATTCAAGTAAAAAAAAAAAAAAGCTTATGTTCGATGCTGTCCAAAAATGACCGAACCCGATGCTGCTAAGGCAGAAGTGTCAAACTGCTCTAAATCAGTCTGCTCATGAACTGGAGGATGGTGTCCACACTCCACTAGTACCATAAACTCAACAGATGTACATGTTACATGTTATAGTACTAAGAATGCTCCTTTATAAGGGGAACATTCACCTCTCCGGGAATTGGACCACTGAATAAAAAGATTTTACACTTATGACACTTGTTAACAGAGCAACACACGAGAAGAGGAAAGGGCTGATGGCTGATACCAGGCCCATGATGTGAACTACTGATCACCTTAAGGCACCCCCAGAGCGGACACTTATTCCCTCAGGCAGAGTAGGCACCTGTTTATCTGGACGTCAGGTGCCTACTATGCCAAAGTATACCGGGGGAGGAGACAGGAAGCGGTGGCGACGGAGCACTGATCTTCTAGTTCCTCACACTACTCCCTCGTGCGCCCTCTGTGGTGATACCAGGAGCCAAAGTATGACATCACTTTGGCCATGGCCTCACTAAACAGTGCGAAAGGGAACAGTGGAGGCCTGTGAGAATGCAGGAGCTCCCCTGGATCCCAGGGAGAGGATTCACATCAGCTCTCCTAAAAGGAAGGGAAGGCTGGAGGGGCCTAAAAAATCCCAAAACAAATTAATTTGTGAATGTGCATTCAAGAATGTGTGAGTGTGTCAGTGAGAGTGTGTGTGCCACTGAGAATGTGCTTGTCAGGGGGTGTGTCTGTTAGTGTGTATGAGTCAGAGTGTATGTGTTTGTGCAAACACCAACTGTACATACAAACACTAAACACAAGTATACCACGGCTTTCCAAAAGCAGCAGTACATATAACTGAATTCAAATGCCAACACTACACACAAATACATACATTCAAATAAACGCTTAAAAAAAAAAAAAAAAAAAGTTTTTGGTTTTTTTTTCCTATTGCTTTAAGGGTTTATTAAAAAACAATTGTAATGCACTTTAACAGCAAATACTATAGTCTTTACATGTGTTGAATTAGCCTTACAACCAAAGGGGGGGGGATAGGGTGTGGTACATGGAACAAAATATTGTTCTGTCCTGGGCGACCATAACTCAGGTTACGCCACTATATGTAACTATTTGAACTAACTGGTCACCCATATGTTTCTTAACATGTTTTTTTAGCCTTGTCAAGCTTCTGTGTTGGTCAGCAGATATTTACAGTTGCCACCACTAACTGGTGAATGTTAAAGGGACACTGTAGGCACCCAGACCACCTCAGCTAATTGAAGTAGTCTGGGTGCTGTGACCCTTTTGCACTTAGTGCTGCAATGTAAAACATTGCAGTTCCAGAGAAATTGCAGCTCTAGGTCTGCCTCTGTGGCAGTCTACCAGACAGTCACTGGATGCGTTTCCGGAATCCAAACGGACTTTTGGTCTGTTATCTGACGCTGGACGTCCTCACGTCAGATTTTCCCCATAGGAAAGCATTAAACAATGCTTTCCTATGGGGAGGTCTAATGTGCATTAGGTCTCCCCCGCCGTCTAAAGTAAGACTGACATCGGTGCTGGATTCAGGTAAGTGGCTGAAGGGGGTTTTAAGAGTTACCCAAATAAAGGTCTTAAAAGAGCATATAGAAGGGCCCTAGAGACTGATAGAAGAGATCTTCTGTCAGATCGTCTGAAGGAAACCAAGTCCCTAGACAAAACTATAAGAATGATTGGCACCTATGACACAGGTTGGAACGAAGTACATAATTCTGTGCAGAAATTTTGGCCAATTCTTCTTAAAGACAGACAATCATTTAAAAAGTGTCCTGGGTCCTAAAGCCTCTATGATTTACTGGTTCCAAGTCACTTCTCCACTAAACTGAATTCACCAACTACATGGTTTAAACGAAACATTCCCATTGGAACATATGGGTGCGGCAGATTTGTTGCCTGTAAGTATATGTCACGAGATTCGAAAAGCGTGACAGATAGCGAAGGGAATAAATAATTTAAAATTACTCACTTCTTTAATTGTAACAGTGCAGGGCTAGTTTATTTACTGACATGCAGCTGTAAGCTCATGTACGTGGGTAAAACGTTTCGGCCGTTCAAGGAACAGATAAAAGAACACGTGAGATCCCCCAAAAATCGTGTTGAGACTCCAATTTCCAGACACCTTAAAGAATGCCATGGTGGCATATCAAGAGACATCAGGTTCTGTGGTCTGGAACTGGTCAAACGCAACCAAAGACAGGGTGACTATGACAGAGTCCTGCACCAGAAGGAGTGTAGATGGATTCATAAACTTAACACTCTAAATCCAAGAGGCTTGAATTAAGGTTTTTCCTTCTCTCCATTTATTTAAATAAGTCCCCTATTTTTGACCCATTTAAGTGACTACTCTACGTTACCTTTCATGTACATTATGTATAATTAGGATAGTGTGTGTGTGTGTGTGTGTGTGTGTATATATGTATATATATATATATATATATATATATATATATATATATATATATATATATATATATATATATATACACACACACACATACACACATATATATATATACACACACACACACACACACACACACACATATATATATATATACACACACACACACACACACACACATATATATATATACACACACACACACACACACACACACACACACAATATATATATACACACACACACACGGATACACACACACTTGTAAATATTTTTCTGAACATTTATCCATCTTTGTGGTATAGATCGCTTACAATTAGAGCGATCTTAATTATAGGCGCCCCCCAGCATCTCTAATTCCAGGGAGTTTATATATTTCAGGCTCTGTACCCCCTTCTAAACCACAACCTTATCAATATAACTTAAATGACATTTTTTATTAGGGGAAGGAACCTGTATATAGCTACAGTGCCTGCTATAAAATAACTGTAGCTATATTTATAACCAGTTTTGAATATTAGCAGACAGATCTATTACATCTCTGAATATTATTTATACTCCACCCAGGGATCAATGTCAATCACTCCTGACCAGGTGGCGATTTGATTTAATTCATGTACAGAAAATGTGATTGTCTGTTTACACTAAAAGGATTATATGAATACGGTCTTTGTAACCGTGGGTTGCCACGGTAACCAATAACATATCGGTTAGAGACCGCGTATAGTCCCTCCTCTGGATGCTCGATTGATACTTTAGCTAACCAATGAGACAGTCTGGAAGAGCGTTGCATAGGACACTCCCACGAGCCAGCCCCCTTGGGCAAACTAGGGAAGTGGGAGGGCTTTACAGCTACCTCTTAAACACACGCTGCTCCACTTGCCAATCAACTCTTGATAAAGGCGTACCCGTACACTGAAACACGCGTCGAGCGCTTTCTTGACAATGTTTTTTCTTTTATTAAGTGTTCTTGCATAGCAAGACCACTTAATGTTATCTCACATATATATTATTATTATTATTAAGTGTTCTTGCATAGCAAGACCACTTAATGTTATCTCACATATATATTATTATTATTATTATTATAGCAAAATTTGCCACCCTAACTCCTCCCACAGTTTTACACTACATAGACAAAAATTTACCAAAACGTGCAGATTGTTCCCGATCGGATTGCTATTACTTTGTGGAACGTTTCGCCGAATGGTTCGCGGAATATCGTCGTTCTTGTGGCGAAATTTGTCCCATAGGAATGAATGGCAAAGCTAGAGTGGGAGCTGGCAAAAACTGAAAAATCAGGACATGATTTCTAAACTGCCACCACTCCCTTATTTTCAGGCCCACCTACACAAATCTTATATCAAAACGTTCAGCTATCCCTGCTGCCTCTAAACATGTCAACGGCTAAGCCATAGTCCTGATAGTTTTCACAATCTAATCATTTGTTTGCAACTAACGCCGTCCATTGACATTCATTGAAACTTCACTCTACAAAGCTCAAATTTGAAGTGCAATTTCTAAACTGCGACTGTGCCTTCATTTTTTAATACTTCAGAGACATACTATGCATCAAAATGTAGGTCTGGGTCTTGTGATTCTCACAATATAAAGCTCTTCGCTGTAGGATTTATAGTTTTTAAAATACGACCGTTTGAAGATGTCAACCGCCAAAATACTCTGACCTGTGTCAGGCTGCAGCAGCAAGTGATGTCATAGACAGGGCCTTTTGAACACCTGCTAATGTTTTATAAATGTATGGTTTAATGTAACTGTGCAACAACGTTGCAATTAAATGTGTTATATAAATGATAACAGTTACGTCGCCCACTCCAGTTGTAGACTACAGGTGGAGGCAAGAACACTTCACACAATTTCCCCTGAAATTGTAACTTTTCTAGTTATAATTATGTGATGTTAGGGAGGTCTGCTTGGTCTGGGAGGTACAGGCTCCTGTTCTCACTACTATAACTCAGCGGGGACTATGTAGCTAGGCTGCCGTGAAGCAGATCAGACCTAACAGTGCTTACTAAGGGGGATCCCTGTGACTACCTTACCGTTACCTTTTGAGTTAGCATTATGGCAGTATATAGAACATAGGTAGTTATAAGATATACTGCCCTCGATATGGGTAGCGTGATTGCCACCCTTTAGGTTTATGTAATTGGGCTCTACATACAATTCCTCCCTTATTGTAAAGTACGTATTGACTTTGAATACTATACTATTTTGAGAGGAAATATATCCCTCTCACCCAGTATTGGATGCTGGTCTATGTATCAAAATGTTCTTTCTGGAGTAGCTGTATGCGATATGTACTAGCTACACTGAAGAGGTAAAGATACAATGTGATCCTCACCCCTGTCCTACTTCCTTAAGCTTCCACATCCCCTCAGACCACAGTACTATCCGTATGTATCAGAGGTACCCTTCTATTCCTTGATCTATTTAAAGCTATATACCTGATATACATGGGATCCTCTGATGTATGATACTGAGATTTGGGACCTATCTCCCTACACTTTAAGATTTACACTTTAGGTTTAGCACCTTGATTTATCACTTAGGTTTGCACTTTTTATAATTTTTTTTTGACCCATATAATATTTTATTTTGATTTTGTACTATGATTTCGGCCAGATAACAATAAAAGGTTTATACCACGCACATGGATTTGTAACCCTTAAGAGGTTCTCTCTTTGGAGGAAGGACCACCCTCATTTTTGTGAGTGGTCCTGTCTACTCCATCTCAATTTCTATTTTTCTCTCCAGGGGTTTTAACCCCTTCAGCCCTGCAGGAGGGGAGTCCAGAGGGAGAAGGGGGATCTATTAAACCTATAGTGCCAGGATCCCTTTAAACAAGCTCTCTGTGGCTCATTTCCGTAGTGTGGCAAATGTAACCTCGCCACTGGTTTTTGGAGGGGCCTGTTTGACAGCCTCCTACCCTGTGACTATGACCCCTGCAATAGAACAGGCTCTGTTCGTGCAATTGGGACTATATGGTTTGTTTACGAACCGGAAACCACCCTGGAGCTTCTTAAGCTTAATTGATACATTGTTGCAATTTCCACCATAGTGGTCTTAGTGTTTGTCTGGGTGGCCGCAATTCCTATGGACGACTACGAGGTGGCGTCCATCTTGTTCGTATGGACCAAAACAGAGAATAGACTTGGAACTATTTTCGGCATGAAAACTTCGCGTTTCCCCAATCGGTCCTCCAGCGGCACTTAGCCGCAATTCTATGGAACCATTTTTGGATATGGGACCATGCCTGCGGTCGGTCAAATAAATGACTTCCAGGAAATTCCTGAACTGATCTGGGTGATTTTTGGATATGTTGGTCACCCAGATCAGGGAATGTAACATTGGGGTTTTATGTATTTTAGGGTGTTTTAAAAAAGTTTTTTTTTTTTCTGTGCTTGGAGAGAATTGGATTAGAATTAGTTCAGTTACTGATCCAATTATCTTCCAAGCACAGTGGAGGGATTGTGTGCTGTGTGTGAGAATGTCGTGCCTTGTAACCTTATTGTTATTGGTCTGTGAAGTTGCAAATCAGTTTCCCACAAGGTCACTGTGGGCGTACCCCTTGCATGGGGATTGTCATATATGGCCAAGTGTGGCTCCCATTAAACAGATTTGTTTACCCCTTCATGAAGTCTTGGCTCATTTTTCGGGAATTGGAGAACTACATTAACTCTGGGGATTGCTATACCACAATACTCCCCTTAGTATAATCACTAGCTCTTATAAGAACTGTTCCTGCTACGCCCTCTGGAGGAGGAGAGGTCTACCCACTGGAAGGGCGGATCCTGGGTCCAGGGTGGGCGGAGGACGGCGAGACCCCAACCAAGCTGCGGCAGTTCATGGGATTTACAGTGCTTATGGTGCTCACAAGTACCAGGAAACAGTGATTGACGGAGGTACCCGGTCGGGGTGCCAAGCGGTCCGTCATATTGGTGGCAGTGGCGGGATGGTGTGAGGACAAGTAACCTGAAGACACCGGTAACGTGTGCAGTATATTGAGGGCAACGCTTGCATTCGTGCAGCGCCCCTGGATGCAGAGGTGCCCACCGATTTGGAGCAGGCAAGTATGGCATCCTCTGACTCTTGCTCAGAGTTGCGGCAGCAACTGGCCTGGTATGGCCCTGTGTCAATGGAGACGTTCCAGGCGATCTGGAACTAGTTGGCAGTGAGACAAGCCAAAAGAGACCATGCGTTCCTGATGGCTAAAACGAGGGGAGGAAGTCTCCAGCGAAAGGAGGTTTGCAGGAGCCCTTCGGGAGAGGTGGTGCAACTGATCTGAGAAGAGGCGCCCACCGATTTATTTGACTTTACATCAGAGGATGTTGGCCTTCTCCCCAGCGGCAGCCGGAGGTATATGAAGTAAGTGACCTCGGACTGGTCCTGTGATGAACCCCAACTGGCAGGTGGATATGGGACCGAAGTCTCTCCACCGGCCCAGATCCCCAGCTACAGCCGTAGTCGGTCCTACTCCCCAGTGGCAGAGTATGTTATTGGGAGAAGAGACAGTCCGTCTCACTCCCCAGCACCAGTGTGAAGTACAGGGAGCGGAAGGTGTAGTCCTTCCTGCCCAGCGGCAGAGAGTGAGTGAGTGAGTGAGTGTGTGTGTGTGTGTCAGGGAGAGGAGTAGGCCGGTCCCTCTCCCCAGCTGCAGTTTGCATTACAGGGAGAGGAGCATATCGTCCTCTCTCCCCAGCGGTAGATACTGTTACAGGGAGTGGAGACAGCTGGTCTCACTCCCCAGCGGCAGCCGGATATACCGGAAGAGGAGACAGCTGGTCCCTCTCCCACACTACAGGGGACAGCACTCCTGACCCCAATGGTGCAGATGGGACTGGTCTCTGCACCAGACCTACAGGGATGCTGGATGGCCGGTCCGGATCCCCAACCAACACCGCCTGAATGCCAGGAGGAAGAGGTAGGCGATCCCTCCTCTCCACAGCAAATCCTCAACCAGGTCCTGGGGGTAGTATCCGTTGACCCCATCCCAGCAAAAAAGATGGCATCAGGGCACAGCGCCGCTGGCCTCTGCCCTGCCCCCTTGTTACAGGGCAGGACTACGTACCAGTCCACCCAGTGGAAGAGCTGGCATCTGGCCTACCCTTTGTCCAGGGCCGGAATACCCGCAGGCTATCCCAGCAGAAGCGCTGGCAACAGGGCAGAGCGCAGTTGGCCTCTGCCCTCCCCTTGTCCTCAGTCCAAGACCGGACAACCCCCTGACTTACCCAGCTGTAATGCTGGCTACAGGGCAGAAAGCCGCTGGCCTCTGCCCACCAAGTACCTACAACTCCATGCCTGGGAGTACAAGGGAGACCGGGTGCCCACTTGACCGCTGGGGACATACAGGACAGAGATGGGCTACAGAAGTCACCAGGTCCAGTATTTGTTTATGGGTTGGCTACTCTACTAACTCAGGAACTGACCGGCAGGAGGTCAGGTACCTGGCCAGTCTCCCCTTGGGAGGAAAGATATGTGGCGAAAGTAACCTCGCCTCTGGTTTTTGGAAGGGCCTGTTTGCCAGCCTCCTACCCTGTGACTATGGCCCCTGCAATAGACCTGGCTAAAATACTTTAAACAGGCTCTGTTCGTGCAATTGGGACTATATGGTTTGTTTACCGAACAGCTGCACAAACCGGAGACCACGCTGGAGCCTGTTAAACTTAATTGATACATTGTTGCAATTTCCACTGCCCACCCCCCTGACTGGGTACCTCAGCCAATTGCTGCTTCCTAGTACTAGGTCTAAGTGTTTGTCTGGGTGGCCGCAATTCCCATGGACGACCACGAGGTGGCGGCCATCTTGTTAGCATGGACCAAAACAGAGAATAGACTTCAGGGGGACTGCGAATGCCCTGGAACTATTTTCTGGATGAAAACTTGCGGTTTCCAGGCCGGTCCTCCAGCAGCACTTAGCCGCTATTCTATAGCCTGCGGTCGGTCAAATAAATGACTTCCAGGAAATTCTTGAATCCCTGAACTGATCTGGGTGATTTTTGGATATGTTGGTCACCAAGATAAGGGTTATCAGGGGATGTAACATAGGAGCTGTTACTGCTACGCTCTCTGGACTAGGAGAGGTCTACCCACTGGAAGCTAGGTCCTGGTCTTGGGTCCAGGGTGGGTGGAGGACAACAAGACTCCAACCAAGCTGCGGCGGTTCGTGGGGTTTACGGTGGTTATTGTACTCGCAAGTACTAGGAAGCAGCAATTGACTGAGGTACCCAGTCAGGGGGGTGGGCAGGTGGTCAGTCACACGTAGTTTCTTATTCTTGCCAGTAGCCTCCCTACAGAAACATTTCTGGAAGACTATCAGAGTTATTAAATTTACCCAGATTATTTTGTACATAAAAAGGAGTAGAAACAATAGCTGTAGTTGTGACTATGGCTGAGTTAGAGAATGTTTACAGATCAGCTATTCTTACCAATTGATTTAATTTGTAAAATTCTAAATTTAGTGAATAACCCTGCAAGGCTCACTTTGAATGTACCCCTTTATTTCTGCCACATCACAATCTGTAATGCCTACGATATACCAATTATCAAACTTTTCCACATGGCAACTTTAAAGGGACACTATAGTCACCAAAACAACTTTAGCTTAATGAAGCAGCTTTGATGTATAGATAACACCCCTGCAGTCTTACTGCTCAATTCTCTGCAATGTAGGAGTTAAATCACTTTCGTTTCTGTTTATGCAGCCCTTGCCACACCTTCCTGCAAGTAATATGCAAAGTATCCTTGTAAAGTGTGATCTAATGTTTATACTTCCTTTATTGTACAGTCTGCTTAATTTAGAATTCCATATTTCCTGCGTTGTTAATAGCTTGCTTTACCTTGCAGTTCAGAGTTTTACAAAGCAGTAGATAAAAACTTTAATATCAAATTAACATCTGACTGAAAATGAAATGCAGGCTTCATCAGTCAAAGCCAGAGGAGGTGTGGCTAGGGCTTCAGGGACAGAAACCAAAGTGATTTAACTCCTAAATGTCAAAGAATTGAGCAGGCTGCAGGGGCATGATTTATACACCAAAATGGTTTCATTAAGATAACATTGTTTTGGGGGACTATCGTGTTCCTTTAAATAGCAAGGTGACAGCTAATGTACCTGCTTGTTTTATTGTAATATGTGCTGCAAAATATAGACCATGAAAAGGACTTGTCCTGTTACTTATGTCATTAAACCCTTCCGATCACAACATTCAACACCAGTTTTCTACTCACACATGAAATCTAAATTTGTAGTTCCCATCATAAATTCTACGGACACCATTAAACCAATCAGTAAAAATATACACAAGTATCACATTTATCTCCATTGCAGTTTACGTGTTACCATTTTGAAGTTACCTTGTAATCCTTTTGGCAGTTCCATAGTTTTCACCAATTCTTCGGCTATGTCATATGCATTTAATCCGCTAAGTTTCTTCTCCCAAAAGAGCTGGTGAGAAGAAACATGAATAATAATAAAAAAAAATTAAAAGTTAGAATAATTTGTTAAAAACTGTAATTTTTTTTACATTTTACAACTACAAAACAGCCCAAAAGAGTAAGAGGCACATTAATCAGACATGTCTTACCTGACGTGGTTGGTCAACTGCCTTTTGAGGGTCACTTTTAACCTTGTTAGTGGGATGGTTGGTCACCTTGGTTACAGGCTGCTTAAAGATGGATGCAGTTTGTCTGACAGGAAGTGCTGTGTTTAGATCGGGTTTACCCTACAAAGAAAGTGAAATTGTGTCAGTTTGCTTCCAAGATATATGAAACCCATCAGAACCCATTTGCTCTTGTATAATATGAATCGCAGATCTAATACCTTAGCTTGGTTTAGCCCATCATACCGCATGCGTTGGCGGTTCTTGTTGATTTTGCTCATCAGCATCTTCCCAGTGCGGAAGTCAAAAGTGCTGAGGTCCATAGAGTTTCCAAGATAACGGGCCAGCTGTGGCTTGCTGCGGAATTTCTTGCCGCTCGGGCTGAAACCAGAGAAAAAAAAAAAAAACTTCAGAAATAGGACACTTGAACGCTTACTTTGAACAGGTGATCACCCATTGGTGCATACAGCTATCCCATCTATGTCAGATGTCATTCATGGACCTATTCCTGTGACTATTTCTAGCTACTGCCACCAACTCCGTCCTCACTCCCTTATGCCGCCAACATATTTGCTCCCCTCTTCATGGCGCCACCAGCGGCGACGCTCACCCCTCTACATGCCGCAGACAGCGACAATGCACAGCACTCTACTTATTTCCACAGGCAAAACTTCTCCACCTCTAGCTGCCACTATAACCACCTCTATAATCCCCTCTACCTACCCCCACGAGCCTGCTTTACCCACTACCACCATCTCTACCCACTACTACCAGCTGTGCTTTTACTCACCCTTCCGGCTGCCATACCCCTTTGTCCTGACAAACTAATCTGTGCTCGAGCCTTTCCCCATCAACCAAATATTTATTTACATTTTTTGTACCACTACTTGACCAAAAAAAAAACAAGCAGCTTAGGATCCTTTAATCACAACCATCTTTTGCTTTTCATTTTTTTTTTTTTTATTACTTCCCCCCCCACCCCATAAAAAAAAAAAAAAACATATATAAAAAAATAAAATAAAAAAGTTGTCTCTTAGAGTGCAAGAGTTACAGTTCTCTAAACGTTTTGTTTTTTTTCTTTACACCATACCTAATTCTGCTGGCCATCTGCATTTTTTGTTTTTCCCATTCTGAACAACTAAATGCAATCCAAAAAAAACAAAAACACACAAAAATCAACACAAAAACAAAAAAAAAAGTTTATCAATCTCTAGAAGCATGGTATTTGAATTCTCCCAGCCCCATGCTCTCTCAGCCTGTCTGTCTCCCCCGTTAATCCCTGATCAATAACTAATAATCAGTAATCAATCCCTAATCACCTGCCCTCCATCCCCCCACGCTCTCTCCCTCTCTGGCTGTCTCCTTGCTGGCTGTTTGTGCCATGTCTTTGTCTGCCCACCATGATGACCAACCTCTCTCCATCTCGCCCCATTCTTCTGTGGAGCCTGTGCCCCCCCTGGCCCCCCCACCTCCTTAATCTGCATGGCATTGCCGGGCTTTCCTGCCTCCATCCCCCCAGCTCCCCCATCCCCCCCCCCAGCCCACCTATAGTAATAGACATCGCTCTTGCCGGCGGACAGGCCCGACCTCCGGGTCACCTCCTCCTTCTTCCACCCCTGCGGCAGGGCCGAGCACTCCCACCGTTTCCTCTCCATACCGCGCTCGGTAATGATATCGTCGTTGGCCTCGCGTATCCCTCCGCCGCTCGGATGCGGCCCTGATTGGATCCATTCGCCATAACTCTGCGCGCGCTGATTGGTGGAGGACATGGCGGAGACCAGGCGGGCTGAGCTCCACTGTGACGTCACGGCGAGGGGAGGAGGGAGAAATCATGCGCGCGGGGAATTCTAAACGCGAGAGTGGGTGGGTCGCACGGGAATCCTGCGGAGAGAGCCCACAGTCTCGCGAGAGTTCGAATTTTTTTTTTTTTTTTTAAAGCGTCTATCGTCAGCATAATCACTAGAGTAGTCAGGGGGTTTAGAACTCTAATTGTGGGAAAGGGCGGCCATTTTGACTGTGGGCAAGGGCACATTCATAACACAGGTGGGATCATAGACATATAATACATTGTATGTGTGGTATTATATGTCTATGGGTGGAATGGCTTCCATGTGACTATGGAGAGGTGGTTTATTGTTTGACTTCATTTTAATCCAGCACTCTAAGTATCATAACCACTACAGCTTTGTGTATTTTACATACTGCCCAAGTGCCCCTATAGTATGAGGGACAGTCCCTATTTTGAACCCAAATCACTCTGTCCTTTTTCACTATATTGTCCCTTTTTTTTTTCAGTTGCTCCGTTTTGCTGGTGTTTTTGATGTGTATAATAGAGCTTCCCAGTAATGTGTCTTTAAACCACGATAAATGTGTTTAGAACGCAGTGTGTGTAAATAAGATATATTGTTATTGTCCTAAATTACATTGTAGTTGTGTAAATTGTTATTAGTAAGTCAACTGAAATTTCGCAGAACAGCGTAGTACCCACACAGTAAAGAGTAAATACAAGAGATGAAAAATAAAATATGTTCAATTAAATCACCGAGTCCTGAACCACTTAGGCAACATCCCAAATATGACCGGGAGTGGGTTTTGGTTGCGTCCTTTGACAAAGCAGCCAAACCAAGAGCCATAAGAAATGTAGAGGCCAACGCCAGGTTGGTGGCTTTAAATATTGTTCAATCCTTGTTGACTAAGTCATAGGAGCAGTCCAACGGTACGCGAGGCCTGCACCTTGGAGTGTGTTGTTAATAGGTTGCACAGATTTGCACCATAGGAAGGTGCGTTGGTGTAGATTTTATAAAAAATAAAAGTAAGTTATCATGACTCAAAATCCCTGTGAAATGCAGCCATTAGATGTCTGACAGAGCAGAATAATATCTCGAGGGGCAGCAGTAGGTGGCCGAGGAGACTTAGCAGTAAGTATTGCAGTTAGCATGTAAATCTTCCATGTTAAAATTAGCGTAGCACCCACCTATATTGGGGTAGTGTCACATATTGGTGGGCTTTACACATTGCGGCCATATTATTATTATTTTGAGCATTTATATAGCACCAGAGCTTTATAGTATTATAGAAAGGAGGAATTTAACAATACATGAGACAAATACAAAATGTTACAGAAACAATAGGTTGATGAAGACCCTGCTCAAACAAGCTTACAGTCTACAGATGGTGTATCTGAATCCCCATATTTGTTTGCCAAGATAGGTGATTTTATGTAGCCTTCTAAAATGTAAAACTCTATTCTTTTCGTGTGTGCGCTGTTCCTCAATCTGTAATTCGTGTAAATTTTGGTATTTACAGCAGCATTCACTAACTAGAAATGCATGTTCTGAATAACAAAGTATATTATAAAACTCTAGTGTTTTGCGGTGTCCTGTAACTTTACGAATGCCTGCACTACTCACAGGGTTACCATAGTTACCTGGCATTCCCCGCAACATCTGACATGTGGAGCACTTGGAATACCCCGATCTGGAGAACACCATGTGCTCTTCCCCCCCCCCGATCAGTATGTTCAACATGCTCCACACGTCCAGCAGAGCAGAAGAGTAGTGGATCCCCTGACTTCGAGGCTATAGCACAGTTCTGCATTGATCTGGAGGGGACCATTTAGAGATTGACCAGTAGATCACTACTGCTGTTACTTTATACACACATTCTGCATGCAAGTAAGCACCAACCGTGAGACACTTTCCGGAAGCACGACGTCTGGTTTAGCATTTCCCTTTTCAGGTGTCATAGTTTTTCCCTGTATGGGCTCAGTGTGATATAAAATGAGGAGTCAAATCCACACATGAGGCATAGCCACAACCGAGCTGGAAGAGCTATGACTATACCTGGCAGGAGGAGGGCAGAGATCGATATTGCTTCACCACTTTCTGCTGTTCGGCTTAGAGGAGAACATAAGGGAATACTTTAGGAGGGGGGTAAAGAGGGATACAGCTTCTGGACGAAAACTAAAATTGGATGCAAGGAAGTATGGGTGGTAGATACAAGCGAGATGGAACACAAAACAAATGGGGATGAGTGAAAAACACAGTTGAGGGCAGGGGTGGTTAGCTGCTTCATTAAGGAAAGGATTGGTGACAGAGTAAAGTGGAAAGCTGGGACAGAGAGAATTAATTGGGCAATTTGAAGAGTTTGTGACATGTGGGGGAGATACACATATGATGAGGAGGTGTGGAAGAAACGTGTTGAGATGGGGACATTAACACTAAGGGTGGTGGGGACCAATATACACATGAAGGAAATGGGGGAGATGTATGCAGTGCAGATGGGAGATATATAACCTGTGGGAGCAAGAGATGGTAAAAAGACACTAGTGCGAAGGAGGTGCATTCAGAATCACACAACCTGCAATATTAATATAAGTATTCAATGCAGGTTGGTGGTGGTGGGGATCTATAGTTAACTCCAGGCCTCCCTCTCATTTAACATTACAGTAATTCACTTTACAGTATCATAATTTTTTCTGGGAAAAGCACTTTAAATCCCTGAGGTGATAAGGGCAGGCTCTGACCCAAGGTCCAAGCTTCCAATTCTCTCAATATCCCTAAAAAGGAAGGCAGGCTTGGAGTGTAGTTGGCTTATTGACTAGGTGCGTCTTTTTAGGCATTGCATGTTTGAAAGCAATTGCAGGCCAGATAAGTGGTCAGTACTGATTATTTCAGTCCCAATGACATCAGTGTTTAAATACTGTGGAACACAATTATGAATACAGCAATCTCCAAGTCAACACTGACATGCCAGGAGTGGCACTCATTCTCTGGGAACATGTACAGCGCTACGGAATGTGATGGCACTATGTAAATAAAAAAAATAATGTTGCATGTGACAATTTCGCTTAAAATTACCAGATTGTCTTAATTATTTATTAACAAAACGACAAGCATACAATGGGGAAATCAGTGTGGTAGCCTGCGGTTGAAAACTGCATTTTTTCTTTAATCTTTTCAAAGTTGCCTATCCTGTGACAGAGGGAAGTACCCTATATGCATTATGGCTGCTGCATGGAATTAGGAAGATATCAAGAGAAGTGTATCTGGCATAAACACGCATTTAAATATCTGAAACACTGTACAAATCTATACAATGGATATGGTATGGTTATTCAAACCATCATGACAAGTATAAAGCCTGGAATTCTGTTCAGAACTGCAGAATGTAAATTCTGTGCAGAAATAGTCTGTCATCAGCACGCACAGCAACAAATGCTTCTACACTTCAAGACAATGCTGAGTGTGCGCCTGCAAGTGGAAGCCGCTATTTACCCTCCCCATTTCCTTTGAGCCCTCCCAGCTGTGTCCGCCTCTTTAAATATTCTCCTCCCTTTTACATAAAGATTTGTTGATTCCACTCATCTGTCAATCATTTATCAGCACAGTCCTTTATGCCCAGAAGTGAGTCACAGGAGAGAGGGAAAACATCCTAAGATCTTCCGCTCTGTGTTACAGTTATAGCACGTGTGCGGTCTGCTACCTTGGGAAGCACACAATATCACTCCCTCTGACTCAGGGAAGTATTTCCAAGCATGGCCTATTGTGTCAGAGGGAGGCAGGTGTTACATTAGCATGACACTCACCCACACAACCATGTCGGTGGTATTGCTGTGGAGGAGACATTATCTTAACAACTCCTAAAGCAATCAAATGGAACGTATCACCACGTTAAATAATATATTGATTGATTTAGAAGATGTTATTTGCATCAGTAGGCTCACAATAAATAATTTATTAAAAACTCCCAACTATATTATATCACGTCTACTTTAGGGCCACAATGGCTCAAATAAGGATCAGGCTAGATGGATTGTTGAGGATATTTCATTTGTTAGTACATAACCATTTGAATCCTTGTTTGTGCACTGCTGAAATATTCTTGGCTGTTTGTGTTGTATACATCATACTGTGAAGATAAAACACGTCAAGTTATACCATTCAACTACGTGGAGAAAATTATAATAACTTTATTAACCAACTTTTCAGCATGTTCATTTTAGAATGTACACAAAATAATGTAATAAGATTGTTCACACAGAGTATGTATTCAGTTATCTTGGAAGTTTTTAATGGCGACGTCCTAATTGAAATTGCATAACTGACTTTTAAATAAGCAGCTTCTTCCAGAGAGCAAGGATTCAGAACATGTGCAAGAGCTCAAAATGAGGCTTGTTAGAAGCTAGCTTGACTGCGGTCACAGAAGAATCCACAAAAAGCTGGAACAGAGAGAAAATAGTTTTAATAATCATTGTTGCGCTTGTTAACATTTAAATAAACCCCCCCAAAAAGTCTCTTTAAGCACCATTTTAATGGTCCATAACGGTAAAGATTACCTTGCTTCATTTCCCCATATCAGTGTGGCTTAGAAGTGCAGTGATTTCGGGGGGGAGAGAGAGAGAGAGAGGGGGAGAGAGAGAGAGAGGGGGAGAGAGAGAGGGGAGAGGGAGAGAGAGGAGAGAGGGAGGGAGAGAGAGAGAGAGGAGAGGAGAGAGGGGGAGGGAGAGGAGAGAGGGAGAGGGAGAGGAGAGGGAGGAGAGGGAGAGGGAGAGGAGAGAGGAGGGAGAGGGAGAGGAGAGGAGAGGAGAGAGGGAGAGGGAGAGGGAGAGGGAGAGGGAGAGGGAGAGGGAGAGAGAGGGAGAGATCTTTTCTCTCAGCGGTTAGGCAATACCTCGGGTCTGACAAGGGTGAGCAGAAAAGACTTCCCACAGACAGCGCTTCTAGCACTATATAGGGATTAGAAGGGCGTGATTCCATTCCGACGCTGGCAATAAGGTTTGCCCTGCTTAAAGGACTACTCTAGGCACCCAGACCACTTCAGCTTAATGAAGTGGTCTGGGTGCCAGGTCCTTCTAGGGTTAACCCATTTTTTCATAATTATAGCAGTTTCAGAGAAACTGCTATAATTATGAATGGGTTAAGCCTTCCCCCTAATCCTCTAGTGGCTGTCTCATTGACAGCCACTAGAGGCGCTTGCGTGCTTCTCACTGTGAAAATCACAGCGAGAGCACGCAAGCGCCCATAGGAAAGCATTGTAAATGCTTTCCTATGAGACCGGCTGAATGCGCGCGCAGCTCTTGCCGCGCGTGCGCATTCAGCCGGCGGGGCGTAACGGAGACGGAGAGGAGGAGGAGAGCTCCCCGCCCAGCGCTGGAAAAAGGTAAGTTTTTACCCCTTTCCCCCTTCCAGAGCCGGGCGGGAGGGGGTCCCTGAGGGTGGGGGCACCCTCAGGGCACTATAGTGCCAGGAAAACGAGTATGTTTTCCTGGCACTATAGTGGTCCTTTAAGGACGTGTCCCCAAGCAGGGCAAAATCACTGAAGAATAGAAGCTGAGGAAGGCCCAGATATGGATGTTACATGAAGAGTAATCACCACAAAGTTCAAAGATGGCTACGCTGGAACAGAGGAGAGGGGAGCAAATATTTTAATTTGAACACATCATGTATCTTTGTGATATATGGAAGTGTAAAGATGCAGTACAGGGCTGCTATAGGGGAGGTGGAACCGTGGCTTATCCCCTTATCCTTGAAGGACTTTTAGAAAATGACTAATAAGATAAGATCAGAATGAAATACTTCTTCCCTCCCCCCTCCAAGGCAATGTGTATCCATTTCTTGTTGCCGTGATTTCATGAAAATCTTAAAATGTAACAGTGTTCATGTGAAACATCTATCATGTTTGTAATAAAATGTAATCTACAAATTTGAACCAAACAGAACGGAAGGAGAGGCATGTATTACAAAATCTCAATGACACTAAGAGATGCAACCCATCATATACTATAAACAAATTCAGAGCAACACAAGTCATTTTAAAGAAATGTAAAACTTACATTGAAACTGGAACGAAAAAAAAATTAAAAAAAAAATTTACCTACTCTGTTAAATATTTTTTTTTTTAACCCATGTTTTTAGATTCACTTGTCTTTAAACTTTCCATTCACATATGGTACATAGTCAAGAAAAAGCCTCCAGTCCGTGGCCCAAATCAGCCCCACTCCTGCTACTGTCCCCCATGTGGCTGCGATGGGAGCCCTGAAAGAGATAAATCAGAGGTAAACTATACATGAAAGCTAGACACACTGATAACACAATCTAGTAAACACATTGATAACAAAAACAAGCTAAATATTAGGGTCTTTGTGAGCCCTTTAATCTAAAGAATCTGAACAATAATAAAACATTTTCAACTATAAAAAGATATTTTGAGTACTGGAAGTTTATTTTCATTTTACATTTGACAGAGAAAGTAATTTGATGTAAACAGGTATTGCAAGCTAGAATTGCCACACTTTTCAAAGTAGTATAAAGCATTTTTTTGGGGGGGAATGTAACACAAAAACTGTATATGAACACAAGCGCACCATGTAATTATCGGAAAAATATACTGCCAATATTATGAACTAAAAACTACTGTATTGGAAAATGTTATCCATGTTAGCGCTTGCAATTCAGCTATTCTGGCCTAAGATTAAAAATTCAGACAATTCTCGCTTTAATGAGTAACCCAGTACTTGTACAAACTATGGAGATTCCAGCTTTTAGATAACTATTTTTAAAATGGAAATAAAGGAGAATTGAAGGGACACTCTGTACACAATAACAATTTAAACAGAATTAAGTTGTTATAGTGCCACGAGGTCCGTGGCACTGGCTTACTTTAATGTGTTAAACAGTCAAAGGATAGTTTAACCTTAAGTAAGGCACTGGTCAGCTGTGTTCCGAACCTTTTTACAAATATCTGTTCCGAACCTTTGTTGAAGTCCATAGCTTCAAACAGAACGCCTCGGACAGGCGAGCCGATAACCAATTGCTACCATTTATCAAAACGGATTCGTGGATAAGGAGACACTCCACCTGAGGGCATCAACTGACCAGAGCCTGACTGAAGAAGTTGGGGTTAAACCGTTCGTTAACTGTGTAACCTCTGAGGGTAACCTGAAGTGTCTTCCTGGCGCCATAACATCATCATTCTGATGTAGCCATTATGGTGTTCGAAATGTTGCGGTTATTAAAAAAAAAAACACATAAAAAAAAAATGTACTTACCTGAAAAATCACTCAATACACATATATACACATTGATACACAACATGCAGCTGGGGAGGCAGGGGGGGGGGGAAACCTATTTTTAATCAAAAGGCTCCCTTAAAAGCCGAGGTACTGTGTGCGTTTGCAATTATTGCTAAAAACAATGGATTGTGAATAATTGTAAATAAAACAGATTTTTGAATTAAAAGGTGCCTGAAGTGTATTTCTAATATCAAATTCTACAACGTGTGCAGTATTCACATGCCACTATCCAAAAGGAACAGTTCACCATAATATATATAATATATTAAAAGACTACAGAGCACACTACTAAGGTAGAAAGTAAAGATAGGTTTTTAATCACATTAATTGCATATTTTAACCCCTGTACTCTGAGTAAAAGTGCAGCATTGATAAAGATCTCAAGCTTGTAACACAGACCTACATTATATATATTAATAAGTTGAAATTCTGTGTTAGTGATCAGTTACAGAGAGATACACAACTGCAGTGGGTGAGATTTCTTAACATAATCAAGCAAAAAAACAAATATTAAAAAATAAAAAATGTTTAAATTGTTTAATGATTCTGTCTCTTACCAGTTTTTGGCGAGCTGTTGGTACCGGGTACCGAGGATCCGGCCGATCATGGCTGCAGCTCCGTCCTCAATATGACCTGCACGCCTTGAGTGTGTACAACACAAGTGACCTCAGTGGGAGGCAAATGGCGGCGTGAGGACCCCGAGCGTGGCTGCCCGCGGAGATGCCTGTTTTACGTCATCGAACAACAAACATGGCGTCCATACTGAATAGGAACATCCATAGACATAGAAATTTATAATATGTCTATAGGAACATCGTGTCCTGGCAGCTTCTAGAAACCGAATCAGGCAATGCCGAGGCCAGCCCAGGCTGAGGCAGGACCCTCCCTCCTCTCTGTAACTCCTATTAAAGGGACATTACAGGCATCCAGACTACTTCATCTCATTGAAGTGGGCTGGGTGCAGTGTCCCTGTCCCCTTAAAGGGAAACTCCACTGCAGGTCCCCTCTCCCTCCCACCTCCCATCCCAGGTAGCTGAAGGAGTGAAAACCCGTTCAGTGACTTACCTGAGACATCCACCAATGTCCCTCGGCAGTGGTTTCGGGTCGGCGTCGCTCCTCCCAGTAATTACGTCAGCCGGCAATGCCGCGCACGCGCATTAGGTCTCCCCATAGGAAAGCATTGAAAAAGATTTTCAATGCTTTCCTATGGGGAATTGAGCGACGCTGGAGGTCTTCACACAGCGTGAGGACGTCCAGCGACGCTCAAGCAAAGAAAATCTTTGCTATGAATCAGGAAGTCCCCTCTAGTGGCTGCCTAGTAGACAGCCACTAGAGGTGGAGCTAACCCTGCAATGTAATTATTGCAGTTTATAAAAAACTGCAATAATTACAGTTGCAGGGTTAAGAGTAGTGGGAGTTGGCACCCAGACCACTCCAATGGGCAGAAGTGGTCTGGGTGCCTGGAGTGTCCCTTTAAAGCAGGGGTCCTCAAACTCCGGCCCCCCAGATGTTACTGAACTACAACTCCCATGATTCTCTGGCTATCTATGTAATTCAAAGAATCATGGGAGCTGTAGTTCAGCAACATCTGGGGGGCTGGAGTTTGAGGACCCCTGCCTTAAAGGAACACTCCAGGCACCATAACAACTTCATCTAAATGCACTCATGTCTCGACAGGTTAAATCACGCCAAAGTTGCCTCCAGTGCCGAACTCTCGGCCAATCAGTGACTCCCCATTCATAAAACTCGCTTGGAAAGAACATACCTGTTCCAAGACAGTTTTTGGATGGTTGACTGAGGTCGTCAGCTGACCGCTGTCAACTAATCAGCAACAACCTTGCCCTGCGGCACTCCGTGGTTCCTGAAACTAAGATTTCAGAAACAGGATGTGCATGGGGGGACCTGGGGATCAATGCTGGAGACAACATTGGGGGTAAACCATTCAGGAAAGATTTAACCAATTGAGGTAGGAGTGCACCAAGGGACCTCCTGGCACCATAACAACTTAGATGAAGTTGTTATGGTGCCTAAGCTGCGCCTTTAACCCCGTGATGTAAAACATTGCATTTTCAGAGTAATGCAATGTTTACATTACAATGCAGGGTTAACTAGTGGCTGTCTACCAGACAGCCACTAGAGGCGCTTCCTGCATCTTCCACGTTTTCAAAAGCATTGATTCAACGCTTTGCTATGGGGAAGTTCTAATGCATTACCGCATTAGGGTCCCCCATTGGTGTGAAGTTGCTGGCGAAGGAAATCAATGCAGCACCAAGGACCTCGGTGCTGGAGAGATGCAAGTGGAAGAAAAGGGTTTTTAACATGCCGGACTTGGGGGGACATAAAGAAATATGCAGAGGGACACTATAGCGTTAACAATACAGTTTTGTATTCCTAACTCTATAGTGTTCCATTAACCAGGGCTAGGTCCGAGAGTAAATTTATGACTAGTGTTGCAGAGGAGATGGTTTACAACAGTAATGTCTAATTTTAGCGTATTTTGTTTTATTCCTGAAGCACCCACTCACTATTTACACACAGAATGCTTATTCAGGATTATGTCAAAAAAGTGGATTTTCTAACGCCAAAATCTTTTGTCACATTTTCTGGTTTTGACACTGTTTTTTCCTTCATCTGCTCCACATTTTTTGCAACTTTAAATAGTGAGGCTGTCTTTGTGTCATAAAAGAGGCTCAAGATTGCGTTTTTTTTTGTTGTTCTTTTTTTTCTCCTTAGACAATTTGTTCTGCCACTGTCAGAGTGGCAGTTTTCTGTGACGGGTAACCAACTTTTCCAATCTCCCTTTCTGCTTCGGGACTAAAACAAAATCCTGCAGATTGTAAAAGTGTTTTTTTTTTCTTCTACTAATAGTCAAGAAACATTTAAAGCACCACTACAGCATGTCTGCTCCCCTCCTCCACTATATCTTATGGAGAGCAGGAAGCTCTCAAGCTGAGCTAATACAGAATGGTCAGGCTTAGCTCTGGAGAGCTAACAGAAGCTTCTACTTAAGGGATTCCGTCTTGACGTAGGAAGTAGTGGGGACAGGGAGTGCACTGTAATGTTTATGGTATTGGAATGGTTTTTTTAAAGTGGCTCTGTCACTTTAAACATGCCTTTCTCCTATTGTTTCCCCTGTACCTGGTTTTTTTTTTTTCTACAATGGACAAATTTTGACAAAATGGTGGAGCTTAAGTGAACTTCCACTTCCTCTGTCAAGCTAACAAAGAGTGAATATTGCCTTTGTCAAGATTGCCAAGTGTAGGGAAAATACATAAAACAAAATACACTGAACAAAATTATAAAACCCAATATGGGGCCGTGCATTATCATGCTGCAACATGAGGTGATGGTCGTGGATGAATGGCACAACAATAGGCCTCAGGTTCTCGTCACGGTATCTCTGTGCATTCAAAATGAAATCAATAAAATGCACCTGTGTTCGTTGTCCATAACATACGCCTGCCTATACCATAACCCCACCGCCACCATGGGCCACTCGATCCACAACCCTGACATCAGCAAACCGCTCACCCACCCAACGCCATACACGCTATCTGTCCTGTACAGTGAAAACTGGGATTCATCTGTGAAGAGAACACCTCTCCAAAGTGCCAGCCGCCATCCAATGTGAGCATTTGCCCACTCAAGTCGGTTGCGACGACGAACTACAATCAGGTTGAGAACCCGATGAGGATGACGAGCATGCAGATGAGCTTCCCTGCTACGGTTTCTGACAGTTTGTGCAGAAATTCTTTAGTTATGCAAACAGATTGTTGAAGCAGCTGTCCGGGTGGCTGGTCTCAGACGATCTTGGAGGTGAAGATGCTGGATGTGGAGGTCTTGTGCTGGTGTGGTTACACGTGGTCAGCAGTTGTGAGGCCAGTTGGATGTACTGCCAAATTCTCTGAAACGCCTTTGGAGACGTCTTATGGTAGAGAAATGAACATTCAATTCACGGGCAACAGCTCTGGTGGACATTCCTGCAGTCAGCATGCCAATTGCACGTACCCCTCAAAACTTGCGACATCTGTGGCATTGTGCTGTGTGATAAAACCGCACATTTTAGGAGGGCGTGGCCTGACCAGGGACCGAGCTGAATGCACGGAGCTAGACCTCTGGTCCCAACACGCCAAAATAGCCAATATCAGCAACCTTGAGTAGCCTGAATCCATTACCCATGGACAAAAGGAACCCTAAGAAGCCCCCAAAGAAGGGCCCTGAGTCCGGATCCTCTGTTCTGGACCTGTTGACCGCACAAAAGAGCGGGCCGGCGGACGGACAAGATGGCGCCGGCAGGGGGCCTACCTCGCGGCCGCCCTCGCCACGGACTGGGGCGGTGGAGGGGCACAGAGAGAGAGATACTCCACAAATTTTAGCCAGGCTGGGGGAGGTGCAGACTTACTAGGAGCGAGAACCGCCATTTTAGAGGACCGCATGGAAGGCACAGTCAGGGCCCACAACATGGCGGCAGCACAAGTAAATAAGCTCACAGCCCGGATAGCTGAGGTGGAGATGGCGCTGGAGGATGCTGCTAATAGGTCCCGGAGGAATAACCTCCGGTTGAGAGGCTTGCCGGAAAAAGAAGGTGAGGGGCCACTGCAAGATCTTGTCCTGCAGATCCTCAGACCGATGCTGCCTGACTTGCCGGAGGAGAAATGGCAGATTGAGAGGGCGCAGAGAGCCCTGCGCACCAGATGCCCGGCCCCCAGCTCCCCGAGGGACATTATCATCAAATTCCTGCATTACCCTACCAAAGAAGCCCTCATGCAGCAGGGCAGGAAGAGTAAGCTTACCTACCTGGGGGCAGATCTTCAACTCTTCCAGGATTTGGCGCCGAGCACTCTGCAATGCCGGAGGGAATGGAGACCCATAACAGCGGCTCTGAGGGAGGCCTCAATCAGATATGCCTGGGGGCACCCATTTAAGCTGTTGGCGTTCTGGGAGGGGAGGGTTCAGGCCCTCTCACCCAGGGGGGACCCCCAGAGCTTCCTGAGAGCGCTTGGAGTGAAACCGCTGGGAGGCTTGCCGGCGATCGCAGTGGCCGAGGTGGAGCTGGAGTCCCTGTCGACGGAGTGGCAGACGGCTGGAGGTGGGCAGTAAGGAGGTCCCATGGTGGAGAAGGCCCCGGGACTGGAGGTACCGGACGTGGGCCGGGGACATGAGGGGGGAGAGCAAATGGACTGTTGGGGAGGGGAGCGGGAGGCTGGAGCTGGAACGTGGCGGAGGAGGTTCCGCAATGACATTACGGAGATGGGGGCGCCCTGCGGGGGTCTAGCCCTTCGGGGGGTTATAGCCGGGCTCCAGGCGGAGGGGGGCTGACCGCTTTGGGTGGGGGGTCTGGGGGACTTAGCCGGGGAGCGGAGGGGAAGGGGACTGGATGGTCCCGCAGAGGGACATGCTGAAGCGGGGGGAGCGGGGCACCCGGGGGGATTTGTGAGAGGCGCTCTCGCCTATGGAGTTGACTGCTGAAGAGGTGGTGCCTCTCGGTAATTGGGATAACTGCAGGGTGAGGCGACAGGGTGGTACCCAAGGGTCCTGTGAGCGGCCCAGGTGCTCTCAGGGGACACCACAGATTGGGAACGGGTCCCATGCAACGAACACTGTTACGGAGTGCCAAGACACCTGACCAGTAGGGGGTATCCCCGGAGGGGGGGGTAGGGCAGATAGTAAGGGTGGCCACCTTTTCTCTGGAGGGGAGCACCAGGCAGCACTGATAGGGACTGGAGGGAAGCAA